AAGTGAGACCCACAGAGGCAGTTCAGCACTTCAGCAACAGAACAAGTTTGAGACAGTGCTGGGTAAGTGCTGCAGCTCGTCACTATGATAAGCGTTTATTAAAATGGAGGTAAAACCAGAAATATTCTGTCTTGTATTTTCACTTTAACAACAAAAAACTGTTTCCTTCTTTAATTTACTTCTCAAATGTTCCACAAAAAAGTTTTTGGTAGAGTAGTACGATGATATTTAACCTGCTGGTACTAGTTCCTCATTAAAATGTCCTCCAGAGGTGATTAATGTTCATGACGCCCTTTGGGGAATCTGGTATTCGCTGTACCTTGGAAATCTTCTGCCTAAAGGAAGAGCCTTTTTATAACACTTGATTTATTTTTGAATAATGCAGGTAAGGGATCATTTACATAGATTTTTTTCCAAACATTGTCTGGTCAGTCAGAAAGTCATATCCAGGTTTTCCTATCTTACGTCGAAACAGCCATGACAATTACATGAAGAAGTGAAGAAGTAGGATTGCTGGGATCGGTTCTGTTAGAGATTTTTGAACCGCCACATCATAACATTTATTATATTCAATGTGAGAAAACAGATGGGCCTAAAAACTGTTTTTGTAGGGTCTTGGAGAAGCCTCCCTGTATTTCAATTCCATGTGACTATGATCAGATCCCAAATTCCTCTTCTAATCTTCAGTGATAAAATACTTTATTTCCAAACTATTACTTCTTGTGGTCTGCACTTTTAAATCCACTACAATTCAATTCAATTCAATTTTATTTATATAGCGCATTATCACAATATTACATTGTCTCAATGCGCTTTACATTTCTGCCTCGTAAGGACCCCCCAGTGAGTAAGCCAAAGGCAACGGTGGCAAGGAAAAACTCCCTAAGAGGAAGAAACCTTGGGAGGAACCAGACCCAAAGGGGGAGCCCATCCTCCAGGGGCCGGCAGATGAGTCAAACAAACAAGATGATATGACTAAGCTAATACATTTTTTCAACATTTTTTTGCTTCTGAGAAATGTAATGAACACAACAACAATATTCCAGTGTTGTTTCATACATTCAGACATTTTTAGCAGTTAGGTTTGTCTTCTTGATTTTTACACAGCACTTAAGCACATTTTCAGCCACTGAAGTGACTGTTTATGGGTGTGTGTCACTGAAGCTCATTCCCAAAGGTGGCAAAGGTGCATGCAAATCCATTACGGCTTTGCTTTAATTTCTGAGCAAGACCCAAGTGACAAGATTCCACGTATTGCAAATTCCATAACTCCATTATTGCACAATTCATTTGAACTTTCTCAGAAATTAGCAAGCATTTTTTCTGCACTTTACAAATCAGAGGTTTAATACATTAAATGTGTTACTTTAATTCATCCCAAAAGGATTTAATATTTTATTTGGCTTTTATTGGGCTTTTATGGTAACAGTATATCATTTAGCAGTTAATAACATGCAGCAGCTGAAGGTCTATGGCTAAATGGCTTATTGACATTTTTGAGAGCACCCTGAAGATCCTGTACGACTGTCTGCATGATCTGTACATGTCATCCTCACGGCAGTATGAGTGCTGAGCTGTGCTGCTGTAGTTGGGCCCCAAGTAGTCAATCTGTATATGCTGTCAACACTATCAACTCAATCTATTTTTCGTAGTGAAGTGAGGGATCGTTTATGGAATGTTGGGAAGGCATAACAAAGGACGTTTGTTCAGACATATGCCATTGTCATGTGTGATATGTCATTGAAAAGCATTGAAGTTGTGCCCCATTGATGTCATCTAATTCCTTAAAACACATTTCTACAGTAATACATCTGGCTTAAAAAATACAGAGTGCATTAAAAGGGTTTTTAGATGGATCTGTAAATGTATCCCAGTCCCCTTGACATTGGGATTTTGCCAAATCAGCAATTTAATTAATAACGCACGTCTACAAATGCTTGAGCAGTTTCATTGGGGGCATCCACTTTTTATCTGTAAGAGCAGTTCCTGAAGCACAGCTTGAAGGCATAGCTATTTAGGAAGTCAGTTTAGATTAGCTTCTTTTGACTGGTCTCATGACCCTGTACTGGATAAGTGACTGGAAGATGGATGAATGGTTTTGACTGGTGGTATGTGTGATATATATATATATACATATAGTATGGCACTTCAGGAAAGTGCAATGTATTGTGCCTGCTAGGAGATCTAGAAGGAAATGACATAGAAATTGACATCGGGGCCAGAGGTAACACGCATGCACACACATACTGTATAGCTCTTGTCAATTGTTGGTAACTTGAGACACTTCCTCACTGCAGGAGTCTTTTTTCAGGAGCCAGTAATTTATGTCGCATTCCCACTGCAGGGACTTGCTGCAATTGTCGGTCCTAGGAGGTAGTTCCTGAACCCATTTTAGTCCTGCAGGTATTTCTCATTTGACCAAGAACACCTGGGTGGAGCTTATAGTGATAAGCTTGACGATTTGCTGACCACACGCACTGGCGGTTACTTGGAAGTTATGCGAAAATATGGGGAAGAGAGTAGTGGAGCAAAAATTGAGCAGATGGAATTATTTTTTCTATATCGGTTTTATTTTTCTGCATATTTCTGCTTCAGAAAATACAACCGATAACCGGTATACATCTGTCTAATATCGCCAGTGCCGGTGTTCTGTCGAAAAATACTACCTATCGAAACGTGCTATCGAGCCTTTCTGCGCATGTGCAGTTCCACCGTTTTGGGATTAGGGTTAGGTTTTAGGGGTTAGGGTTAGGGTTAAGGTAAGGGTTTTAGGGGTTTTGGGGGGTTAGGGTTAGGGTTAGGGTAAGAGTTAGGGTTAGGGCTATCGATTAGCACTACGGTAGCATTTTTCGACAAGGCAGCATATATCGACAGAACACCGGCGGTGAACCTTGCCAGTGATTATCGGAATAACGTTACATTGCCTTTTATTCTGTGGAAAACATAAGATAGATTTGTGACGAGATTTAATTACAAATTATAAAGAAGTCACAGACCGCATGATTATAATATAAATAAAATATTATGTCCAATTCTGAACCAAACCTGGACTCGATTTTTTCCCGTATTTTCGGACTGTGCACCCCAATAACTAACAAAACGACTTGTTCATCTTCCATTGTTATGGGGTGGCAATGTAGTTGTGTGTTATTACACATGGGCAGTTTAACCTACTGTACAAGCTTCTTTGTGTCTCCCATGCTTATTTAGCATGAAGGCTACAGTTCCTGTTGTGCAGGAAAGCAACACACCGAAGTGGCCGGGATCTACAAAAGGTGGTCCTGAACTTGAGTGGGAAAGTGCCTTTGGAATCATATCAGAGGTATTATAATTATAGTGTTAAAAATTCTTAGAACCCTGGTACTGCTGGGAAATAGGTTACAAGATTTATTGTGATAGAAATAAAATACATATTATACAAAATCATAACAGACCCATGACCTAGAATAGGATAATCATTTGGAATATGGATGGATGAAAGAAAACAAATATGGACATGAATACAAGTGTGCAATCTGAATAAAAGAGATGATTTTATATGAAAATAAACATCATGTAATGAATAATTACACAAGTGTTGGCGATTGAGAGTGCAGTTGTTTTTTGTATTTAATACATATTTTAACTGCTTAGAAACACATTAACTGGATGCTATGAAATGTAGCGCATGCTCTTTCTAACAGAATCCACCTGGAAAGGTGTAAACAGCACATAGTCCCCTTTGCTAGTTTTGTGGACGTATCATGAAATTATAGGGAATCCGGAAAATGTAACTGCAATAACAAACACTGGGGGAAATCAGTAAATGAGCTCAGCACTAAATGCAATCAGAATGTCTGTCATGTATCTATCATTTTCGGTCAATGAAGGTGAAATTTGATCATGGGAAAAGAAGTTACGTGTAGCTTCTATTTCCCGGTGGATGCCAGTTGATATTACTGAGATTATATGTTTCTCCAGCAGATGGCAGCAAAATAAAGCTATATTTCTTGTAAGATGCGTTCCTACAGTAGAGTCTCGATTTTGCATGTCATTGAGCATATCTTTTCTGTATTTGCTGCACTTTTTTCATTCCATTTTGACCTGGACAACATTGATTTTCATGGTGCTTTTTCTGTGCCTTCATGGTGCTTTTTCTGTACTGCAATTTCTCAACATTTTTAACATTTTAAAATTTTATTTTGCAATTCTTATCAGGGGTGTTGAAAAATCTGTAGATACCACCTTTCTGAGCAGGTTACCCTTTGCTTTCAGTAGAATAGAAAGTAAAAAGTGAAATTCAACTTATATAAGCAGTAGGTACTTTCTGCAATGTATATGTGTCATGAATTTGGACAAAAGGTCTGAATACATTTGCAATAATGGTTTACAAATTAAAGGAACCCAGAATTGGACCTGGTTGTAAATGATGACAAAACCATTTGAGCCAGAAGATTTATATTTGAAAACTAATAAATTAGCCCCTAACCTCATAATTTGACTGTATAGCAGTGCACATTATTGTTGGCTTGTCTGAATCATGCTATTAATAAATCTAATTAATTACATTTACATGTATTTTTATTCAGGATGCTGCCATTTCAGGCACCCTGACAGTGCCGTAATTCATATGCCTATTTATTATGGAATTTTCTAGACTACAGCAAGGAAGGGGGCGGGACAGATTCAGGGCCTGGGGGGCAATGTGAAAGGGGAAGGTGGTAGAAGTAATGTCCTTTCTGACAGCATGGAAGGGGCTTGTTTTTAGTTCCTGCAGATATTCTCCATCCCAAATTAACTGTCTCAGTGTCCAGCTGCTCGCATGGTCAGAGAATCCGAGGCATCTGTGACTTAGACCTTCCATAGCACAGATGTGTTTATTCTCTGTGGTTCCTTTAACTGTACGGATCATAGGTCTGGAGCTTGTCAGTGCCATAGAAGGAGTGGGAAGGGCGGAGCAGCTGTCTGAATGAGTGTGTGGGGGTTAATTTGTATTGTGCGAGTGTCCCGAGTATTAGCCCTCGCTTCCTCGTTGTGCAAACAGCCCCGCAAATGGTTCCTTGTTTCTTGCACTGGCTTTCCCTTTCTCACATTGCAGTTGCATCGCTATCTGTTCTGCTTTCTTTTCTGTTCTTTGGTAGTTAGAGGGAAACACTTAATTATTGCGTGGTGCAGCAGTTGGAAAAGTTGGACGTCCTTCTAGGTTGAAATCAAAGACAGCTAGAGTTGGACAGGTCTTGTTGCTTCTGTCACAATATTAGGTAAGTTCTATATTATCTAAATAGCTGACTGTGTAAGCTGCCAGATGGAGCTGTGCTATTTAGAGAACATTTTTTTCCATCCGAAATAGTCATTTCTCAGGTGCAACTTCTGTTATTGCTTGACAAGTTCCCCTACAAGACCTTTCATTTCACAGTCACCAATTACAAAAGTTTGAAAACCATCATTATGTAAAAATTAGACTTGTTGAATTCTACTAAGGTTGATGCATATACTAATTTGCTTTTATTCCGGAAAATGAATGCTTTATTTTTAATGCTTCTCAGGGTGCAGAGTGTACGAAACTTTAAATAAATAACTTAGATGCTGCATGGGCTAAATCACAAGTCTGCAATAAGGAATATTAGCTGGAAGGAGTTTTTTATGTACAGGTGACACAATTTGTAGAAAGAATAAATGAATGTGACCTGCCGGGAGCAAGATATTTGCAATGAGTGATTTTCACTCTTAAATTTTTGCACCCTGTAATTTACCATCTATACACCAATCCACAGCTACTACACTTTTGCACACATTCTGGTTTTATAACCAGTTGTGTTAGTTTTAATGTTGTTTTTGTCTATTGCAATTAGCATTTGTTTCATTCTTCATTGGATTCCTGCTAAGAGAAGTTATACAGGAAGACCTAGAAAATGACAGGGTTAATGACCCAGAGGTTGACTGCTTTGGGCTCACATGACTGCTAGTGATAGTATTTTAATGAAGATGTTCTGATTGAACAGACCCCTCGGCTGCTGGGAAGTAGCCATGTCTACAGATACTGTAGGTTGCTCTTCTCAGCATTGACTCTTATCTCTGAGGTAACATGAAACTTTCAGCTTCCCCTGCGAAGTTACCTAGACAACCATCGGAATGTAACAAGTACAACCACTGTGTCATTCCCTTTATCATTTTAAGGAGAGGTTAGCCTCACTGTCCTCTGTGGTACTGCAGACCCTAAAGAGCATTAGAACACCCCTTAATCCCAGTACATGGAAATACTTTTTTTTGGGGGTTTTTTTTAAATTGCTATATTTCTTGTCAATGGTGTTCTAATAATAGCGCAAAATATAAAACAAAGCTATTTTGGTAAAGGGCATCATTGTTATCAATTAAACTTTCAATTTAAATTTAAAGTATTGTAATTTGAATTTAAACAAAGTTATTTTGGTACATCATTTGTGTAGGGGGTGAAGGTCGACAGTGTGAACAATCAGATTTGTAAACTTTGATTTATAAGCATAATTTATGTATATTGATCAGCCATTTTATGTGTGAGTAATATGAATGGAGCTGCACATTTGGCTGATATCTTTGGAGGAATCCTCTAAGCCTGGCACTATTGGCCGCACTCTTGTGTAATTACATATATCCATCCATCTTCTATGGATATGCAGTACAGGGTGACATTCAAAGAATCAAGGATTTTTGTCAAAGGCATCCAGGATTTTTGTCAAGGATACCGTCAGACCTGCAGTGAAATTAAAGGCGGTTAACTCCACTATAATAAAAATCGTAATAGCAATAAAAGAATTAAACAGTATAATAAATATGTAATAATGAACAGAAAGTTATACAGAAAAGAAAGAAAAGAATACTACAGATGTGCAACATAGCTCAAAAAAGGTGTGTGGTGTATATGTATGGGGTTAGTATTCAGTTAAAACTGGTACTACATAATATGACATTGGATTGGAGTAGTGTCCTGTAGGAGAATCTCAGATGGCAATGTTTGTGAGTCCTACATATGATTAGGTCCCTCAATACACTCCTTTTTATGTTTTACATGTGTATTTAAACAAGTTGTTCTACGTGACTTTTTCTCACTAACCAATCACATCATTCTGGATACAATATAGTGTAAGAGTTCAGTGAATATGAGGTAAACATAAATGTCAATACAGCAATGATCTGTGTTTTGTCATGTGCCAATCTGTTCCTTTCAGATGTCTGAAATATCCTTGCAGGTACAGATTTTTTTGCTTAAGTATATAACTGATTTATGTAATTTCAGAACTTCCAATGACCAACAACAGTCTCCACAAAAAAATTGTTGATTCATTAATAATAAATTCTCTAAGTCAAACGGAGTCTAGAGTCTTGAATTCCAGAATTAGTTGGGAAGCTTTGGTTTCCACTTACACCAATCAGTCCTTTTTCCTGCTCCCAGTGACTTCTTATATACTAAACTGGTTCATGCACAGGTGTTAATGTCCTCCTTCCTGTGTTCTGTCTCTCTTTTCTCACACTGTTTTCTCCTCAGTGTTGAGTAGAATAACTTTGGAGAAAAGTGGAGCCCCTTTTAGGTATAGCATAGAAGTAAAAGCAAAAAGTTTCAATCTGCAGTAAATTATCGGTGACCTGGAAAAGCAGAGTCAAAACTCTGCGGTGATGCCTTGGGAATTGTCTTCAGGGGCAAAAGCCGCAATGGTGAAGGCAACTGTTTATTTTCAAATAACATCTATAAAGTTCCTGTTTTATATCTCAATTCTGGAACAGGGATTCAGTGCATAGTGCTCTGAGCCAAAATACAGATAGGTGATGAGCTGTTGAATTACTGATTTTTTGGAGGACTGCAGTATGTATATGTATGAAAACTAGCATGAAGATATGCAAAACATTTCATGTCATTGTGGATCATTTCAAGGAGCATTTAAAAAGCAAAGAAAAAATATCTGAGAAGAGTTAAAGAACGATTATAGAAGAAATGATCCACATAGATTATGAAAGTGGCTAGATTGTATTGTCCTTAGGAAATTAGGCCATTTACAGCTGACAATGGATTGTCAGCAGATTGTGAGCTGGGGGGGGGCAGCGACTATGTGGGATGGGAATGCACACAGTCTGCAACTGCTTTTCAGAAGGACGGAAAATGAATGTCTGAGCCACGCCACTGACACAACTATCTGAAACCACAAAACCCCGAACCCCACTATTAAAGTCGAGCAGACAATGCTACGTTTATAACATTGGGACAGAACTTTCCACATTAATAAGTAGAGATACATTTTTTATGTTTGCTGTTAGTTCATTTGTTTTGAATTAACTTAACATTTGAACTTTAAAAAATGATCAAAGAAGTAAATAAGAGAGTGTAATAGATTACGTTAAATATATTAAACTAAACAGGTTTCTGTATCTGAGTGTTTTTTTTTTGATGGCTAAGCTCGATGTTACATTTTTCAGTTAACACAATAATTTATTGGGTACTTTTAAAAAATCACATATACTCTACTGTAATTTGTTTAAATGTTATTACATGCTTAAGTACAGAATAACAAAACAAATGGAGATTAAACACAGTTAAGTGCTTAGTCAGAAGGACTACAGTAAGTCAAAATGATTAAAATCAAACAAGAAACAGTGACCTTACAAACAAGGAAACTAATATCTCATGAACTAATCTCTGTGGCTGAAGGCAAACACGCCCACAACCACACGTATACCATACAGCCGATGCTTAACTTGTTAACCAAGCATAAATTGGGGAAACAGCAGTCATGATTATCCCAGGTAGCAGGAAACAAAAAACAATTAGACCATCAACTCATCTGTTGCATTAAAAGCATTAAGTGATTGAAAAAAGTTGTAAACAGTGGATATTCATTCATTTTACTGTGTGATATGATGTTTTGTTTTCCTGGCAGGAAGCACTGAAGGAGGAGATAGCTGGCAGGATTTTTTTCTTGCTGTTAATTTGAATAAAATTTAATCAAGATTTTTTGGTATTGTGTCTTAAGCAATAGCAGCAACATCATCAATAAGGAATAGGAATAATTATCTATAATAATAACAACAATATGCTATATTATGTATAAGAGTTACATAGCGTTTATTCACTACAAAGAACTTATCAAAAGTTAAAAGTATTCCCCACTCTTTACTAATTGTTACATTTTCAGTCTGTAAGTCACTTGATTCGCTTTCGATGAACTGTCAGCAGCAACACTTGTTCATGAGCAAGCATGGAGAGCTGGAGAAAAGGAAAAGCAGGAGGGGAGCAGGAGGGAAATGGACGGTGCCTGGGCTTCTGCCGTCTGTTAGATTAGTGCGAGCCTCTCGCTAATCTGCATGTGAATGGCCGAGAACAGCTTGAGTTGCTGGACCCCTCTCTGCCACACTTGGGAGGGAGAGAGGAAGAGGGGGAGAGCGAGCGGGGTGAGGGAGAGTCTTAAAGAGATACTCCGGTCGCAGCCCTCCTGTCCTATGCTGAAACGTTTTGCAGGAGTAAAGCTGCAGGGAGAGCGGAAGGAGCAGTGGCCTTCTTCGTAACGTGGTGGAGGAACTGCTGAATTACTGCTGAGCAGAAGTCAGGCGGAGGGTTTTGTTAATGAGAGAAGGTAGGAATCTGTTCAGTGGGTTTGGATGAGGACTGGCCCTAAGCGCCAGAGGGCTGGTGAGAAATTCTCCATTACTGCAGCAACTGCAGGCAAACTGGGGGAGACTCATCTGAAGAGGGTTCCATATGTATCAGTATTTATTAAGTATTACTGATTTTTCATCTTTCTTGCAAGTTCAGTGTTTAGAGGTAGATTTAATCTTTTTAATCAGTATCCCAAAGTAACTGGGTTCTACAGCGTGACCGAATGTAAGATTATTGTATCCACAAATGTTTCTCTGATTGAAAATTGTGCATTAAGAAATCTCCATTATCAGATTGCAAAATATTTTTCTGCAATCATTATTTTGGAATAAAAGTAAACCATGCCTCTATTTCTCCAGCTCATGAGATTAACCACTGCAGTACAGTTAGGCTCATGGTGCATTGCCAGAATGAAAAATTGAAAAGTGGAAACCATACAAGTGAAAGTTAGGTCAAAATCTGGTGTACACCTAAATCATGCATAATTTATTTGTTCAGTAATATCTTCAGGGAATTGTGGAATCTGTTTCCACATTTTACATTACTTTAACTAACTGCAAGATGAAAAAAGGGAATTATTTTACAGAAAGAAATGTTTTTTCAATGCACCCTGGAACTTTAAGTAGTTAAAGTTCATTA